AGTTTCATGGCACAGCATCAAAACAACTGCGTCTCCTGAGTTACCCGGTACAGCGAGACGCGGCGCTCACAGGACAGACTAAACTAGACATGAGACCCATTTTCTATGGACGTATCCCAAGCTCGTGTTTATATGGTGTTGGAGTCTCACGTTGACAGAATCTGACGCCTGATGTTCTCAAGTCAGATTCAACAGACGCAAAAAAAGCAAAAACAAAAAAGAACTTGAATGCTAAACAACTGACAGGCAATGAACATGGTTATTATAAAGTCAGATTGGTTGTTGATCTTTTGGTATGTGCGCGAGATGGTGTGTGTGTGTGTGTGTGTGCCGGTAAACTTTTCACGTAAAGAACAATCCATACACATATTTTTCACCAAAACACACGTAGTACAATATAGACACAGTATTCCCAAAATTCACACGCGTACGTACACATTAAAGAATACATAGCCTACTCAGATATACATAAACACACACATAAGCGAACTATCATGTGTAAAACTATAATATATGTGTTTACAGATGTGGAAATATCTTGAGATTTTCTTCCTGAGACTGTAGATAGATAAATAGATAAGCTCATATTGATTCAGCATGCACACAGACAGACAGTACAGGTATAAGAACACTGTACATAATTAATGCATAGACACTTCAGGTACTTTAACAATGTACATATACAGTGCAGGTATACAATGTACATAGGCATTATATCGAATCGACCAAGGGATAGCCCAACAACTTGTATATATACTTAAATATTACTAAAGATAACTTGTAAAAATAGTGTAATAATTTATGGCTGTAATTTCTTTTAGTTACAGCTGAGACTCTACTAATTACTGGTCATTATAGTCTTAGATTAGGTTAAGTTTAGGTAAGGTCTTTTAAAATTAGTCCCCGGCTCGATATTTCGTACAGAGAAAATGTGACATTTCTGAACCCTAACTAAAGTAAGTTAATAACCAGACATACCACGAACAGTTCCGTTTAGTTATTATTTTTTTTAATTACTTTAACTAATGGTAGAATTTTTAAAGTTATTGTGATGATTTTAAGGTAGATTTTTATTAAGGAGAAGAGAGAGAGAGAAAAGAAGACGGGAATAGAGACAAAGAAAGAAAGAAAGAAAAAAATGGAAAGAGGGAGAGAAAGCAAGAGAGAGAGATGGAGTGTGAGGAAAGGAGAAAGAAAGAAAGAGAGAGAGGGAGAAAGGAAGAGAGAAATAGTGTGTGGGGGAGAGAAAGAAAGTGGGGAAGAGAAAGAAGGAAAGAGAGAGGGAAAGCAAGAGAGAGAGGGAGAAAGGGAGAGAGAGAGGGGGAGAGAAAAAACACATGATAAAGAGCTCATTAGCATAACGAGGCAATAACATAAGTCAGGCTTAGTTGACCCGCTGGAGAGAACACGAAGAATTATCTCTCTCTCTCTCTCTCTCTCTCTCTCTCTCTCTCTCTCTCTCTCTCTCTCTCTCTCCAACATTTACGCATTATTTTTGAGGAAAATTCACTATTATGTAAATCCAATTTTCATCACCATGTCACGACACTGAAAAAAAATAATAACAAAGGAACATTTTAATAGTGTTAACAGTGGTTGAGATAAATAAAAGAGTGAACCTAACCTAACCTAACCATGACGCACACAAACACAGCCGGATCATCACACCAACAGTATCCATTAGTCATCTTTCCTGCACAGCTTACCTACAGTCGCTAGTCTCCCACCTACAGTCTCCAGTCTCCCACCTACAGTCTCCAGTCTCCCACCTACAGTCTCCAGTCTCCCACCTACAGTCTCCCACCTACAGTCTCCAGTCTCCCAGTCTCCCACCTACAGTCTCCCAGTCTCCCCCCTACAGTCTCCAGTCTATCCCTACAGTCTCCTGCAGTCATTAAGGTTCATACAATCATAATTAGACCAGACGGCTAGATCATAGAGGTGAAAATCGCGGTGGGGTGGTCCCTCGTCGTTAACCCCTAGCTTCCCTCCCTCCTTCCCTCCCACCCTCCCTCCTTCCCCCCCCCTCCCTCCCTTCCTTTCTTCTTCCCCCCTCCCTCCGGGCCGGGTGACAAGTGAACATCTGCATCAGTGTCACGGGTCGCACTCGATCACTTCCATATGGTGATGGAATGGGTGTAATCAGCTGCCACGCGCGATGACACACGATTAGTTCGCTCCCCAGACACCGATTCTATCATTTATAGTCTTGTGTTGACGTCTATGGTTCTCTTACTTATATACTAATTCTAGATATTATAGTTTAGTTTTATTATTGATGCTGTATTTATGACATTAGTATTATATTCTACACTACCTTTTCTTCTTAAATGGTTTCTGTTAGTTTGGATAAAGGGTGAACGAAACATTTTGGTAAATTTCAATAACTAGGGAGGTGGAATCTGTTGGTGTCGTGGCCCCTAAACTATTTAATTGCGTCCAGAATTTGAAGTGTCGATCAAAATTATTCATGTCAAGGAGACTATTAGAAATGTGCCAGCGTTATGTGACGACTCCGGGGGATGAAGACGAGGACAAGAATGAGAACGAGGACGAGGATAAGGACGAGGAGGCCAAGTTTACGTAGTTATTTCAAAGGTAAAATTTAAATAAAGTGAGGATTCGGCCTCTCTCTCTCTCTCTCTCTCTCTCTCTCTCTCTCTCTCTCTCTCTCTCTCTCTCTCTCTCTGGTAGGTGATGTTTGCTACCATCTATACCATGAATATCTTGTTACCGTGTCAGGTTCTATCGCATTTGACTCATCCGTGGACAACAACACCGTAGCCTACAGTTGGTAGTGCTGCAGTGCACCTCATCTACCGCAGAGAGAGAGAGAGAGAGAGGGAGGTGTAGGGTTAATTCAAGCAAGGGGGCAAAAAGGAGTTGCTTTACTGTACACACACACTCACACACCCACACACTCAAAAACTCACTCAGAAAGCACAACATCAATAAACACACAAGTAAGCATTCTCACACACACTCAAGGTCACTTCACCAGCTGACTGAACAGATATAGATAGATTAGTAACGTTACCCAAGACTCATTAAGTGTGTGTGTGTGTCTTTAGCTTCTAACTAACGATGAATCATTGAGTCTTTAGTAAAACAGAGAAAGTTATTGTGTTTGTTGTGCATAAAGTGGTGTAATAAGTTTAGCCACAGTGCGCATGCGTGGTAGAACGGATGCGTGCTGAGACTGAAAGTATCAGGTATGTGCTATAAGGCTGATTATTTACCATTTCTTTCACTTTTAATCGTGAGAAATTTAATGTGATGTCATGTTTAAAATAACTGGTGTTTTTTTTTGCGTGTTTTATCCACATTGAAGGTTGGTTACACAAGATGGTAAAGGGTTTGTTTGTTGTCTCGGTGTATGTGGAAATTAGAGGTAAGATTCAGTGGTAGCTGAGTCAGCCACAACCAGTCTCTCATACACCCATCATTAGGTGAGGCTCATCATGTGGTTTTATTGGTGTCACTGTCAACAAACTAGTCACAATGTCGACCTCACGTTAGAGATGAGTGACAAGTGTCGATTACGCTTGTAGAAAACTTCTGTGATAAACGAATATAGAGACATTGTGCCGTGATAGCTGTTCCTTAAGGCGTGGACAACCTACCAAGTTGACAGTGTTCGAACATCCTCGGATTAAATTTTCCTTGTGTATCTAAATAAAACGGAATCTATTCAGTTGGGGTATACTCTGTGTACAATATTTTACACTCAGTTTGACCTTTATAATCTTGGTAGGAGCTATTGAGAGCCAGTTTGAGATATTCTGACATCTGTAGTTGGGGGAAGTTAGACGTGCGTGACCATCGGAAATCAGGATCTAAGTTTGGTTCGTCATTATCGGTGTGGAATGTCAGTCTTGTTTACCTTAGTGTTGGTGGAAAGAAAGTGTTGACATTGTATAGCTATTTTATGATGTGAGACGAGGAGAAGGTTGATACGCGGTGTTCCTTGATGACGTGTGTGTGGAATAGTGAGGCGGAAGCTGGGACGTGTATACTGACCCTGATAAAAAATATATACTGTACCTATATATAAAATTTGGTTAATGTTGTCTTCAAAATTAAGCATTATAATTTAAAAAGTGCCCAGATATTACCCTGACTACAATGAGGACAAACGAACAAACCTCTGTGTGTACCTTTTCTTCGCCCAGCACCTCGAGAAGACTTAACCCTCATGTAGAATAAAGCGGAAGACGTACACACACACTCACACACACACACACACACACACTAATATCAATATCAAACACACACGTGAATTGTCGTATAATAAACAGCTTCATATTGTCGTATTGCTTTCTGTGTTGATAAATATTACACTGTGACAAGCCTCCCGTGCATCCAAACACAATCATACACTCATAACTCCATTACCAACCAATATTTCTGGTCTTACTGCCATTAATTATATTTCTTCGGTCACCATATTGCTAACTGGGTAAAGAATGCGTGAACATTAAACAGTTCAATTTGTTTGTTTTTGTGATTAGTTAAACACCCTAACTACTTGGGGTTAGGTTAGAATTGGTTTAGTTAGCCTAAGTTAAGTCTGGTTACATTAGGTTGAGTTAGGTAAGCTTGGGTTAAGTTAGGTTAGATCATGCTAAATTTGGTTAGGTTAATATAAAGGTTAGGTTAAGTTAGGTTAGGGTGGTTATTTATCTTGTGAAATAAACAGGTGTAAATGAATCTTCGGGTGATCCATCATAAATTTAGTTACATTAGTTAAAGGATCATCATAAAACTGCAGTTTCCATCATGACATAGAGGGTGAGTCAGCTTTTATCTTATCAAAGGACACCAGAGTGTGTTACCTGATTAAAATATAAGGTAACTCTTTATCTTTTGTTATCTCTGCCAGTGTTAGTACATTTAGATCAGGTGATGTGCAGCCCGCCCGGCTTACTTCCCCTAAAAGTAGCGTTAGGGTTAGGGTGTTTAATCATCAAGTGAAATGAACTGGGGTGCCAAATTTTCAGGTGATCCCCAGAGTTGTTATTGTGGAGGTCCAGAGGCCAGACAGCATCAGGTGTGGAAGTTCAGAGGCCAGACAACATCAGGCGTGGAGGTCCAGAGGCCAGACAACGCGAACTATTTAACCTCTCATCGCTTACATCATGTCCGGGCAGGTGAGTTGATGCTAACCCAACCCCCGCGCGCGCGCGCACACACACACACACACACACACACACACACACACACACACACAATAAAATAAAAAATAAATAAATAAATAACAAGATACAAGTTATTTGAAAATGTAATTTAAAGGAAGGGTTTTTATTATTATTCAAGGTAAAAATGGGTCATAACAAGCTTCTGAATACCTCACAAAACTTAACCTATGTTTAATCTTAAGGTGAAATAAGATGGGGTGCCTCATATTGACGTGATCCGTAGAAAGAATCTATGAAATAGTTGTTTCTGATGTATCACGTAACAGTCACTGGTGGAGACGGCGTTAAGTGAAGGTGTGGTGCGTAATGTTGGCTTACACAAAACGTTCCACTGTGCGGTGTGTCAATCCCCGCTGGCCGGCGAGGAGTCGGTGAAACAGCACCTTCAGGGATCCAAGCACAGAGAAGCTGGGGCCAGGTATGCAATCATCAACATCAACAACAACCCTCCTAGATCACTCCTCGACCTTCTGCTACGTGCCACACAAGATGCTGCCAAAACTGGAGTAATAAAGAACATTAGTGGCACGACCAACATGACCTGTACTATATGTAACATCCAACTTTCGGGGACACGCCCGGTAGAGGACCACTTGGCAGGTGACGACCACAGGAAAAAGAAAATTGCGCAGCAGATTTATGATGAGCCCAGCCAATCCCTACCTTTTGGTATGTCGAGGGGGCCCGACATGCAGGGTCTAGCGCCCATCACAACTCCATATGCAATGAACGCCAGAACCTCTCTGGAGAATCCTGTTATGTCGAGGGGGCCTGACATGCAGGGTCCAGCACCCATCACAACTCCATATACAATGAACGCCAGAACCTCTCTGGAGAATCCTGTTATGTCGAGGGGGCCTGACATGCAGGGTCCAGCGCCCATCACAACTCCATATGCCATGAACGCCAGAACCTCTCTGGAGAATCCTGTTATGTCGAGGGGGCCTGACATGCAGGGTCCAGCACCCATCACAACTCCATATACAATGAACGCCAGAACCTCTCTGGAGAATCCTGTTATGTCGAGGGGGCCTGACATGCAGGGTCCAGCGCCCATCACAACTCCATATACAATGAACGCCAGAACCTCTCTGGAGAATCCTGTTATGTCGAGGGGGCCTGACATGCAGGGTCCAGCGCCCATCACAACTCCAGCAGTTGAACCGCCGTCTGTGAAGGCTAGAGCCCCTGAGGTTAGTAAGATCTTAGTATGAAAAAAGAACTGTAAATAATATTTACAGCTCTGGTAAAAAAGAGTATATTATACTCTTCTTTACCAGTCATATTGCCAGAGCGGTAACACTCTACAACACTTGTGTAACTAAACAGTTACTGTCGACAAATATTGTATTGATGATAACTTTTTTTTTAATTCAAGAAAGTCACAGAAAAGAACAAAGAATTATTGTTTTCATATTTTTGTTTACCCGTAGTTCTTTTTATATAGAAAAACTTCCTTCCATCACGCCCAACCGATGCCATCTTTCCCGCTTGATCTGTTGTTTACAAACAAACGCCTTCAGCGACCGTTTCATACATACGAACATGTCCAGCTACTTGATGAGCCAACCTAAACTTATACCTAACGATGATGAATATTTTATATTCTGTTTGGTTAGGTATATTAGGTTGATTCACCTTATGTCGTATATGCATTCGTATGAATGAATCAGTCGCTGGAAGCGTTTGTATGTAAACAATCAAAATGGCGTCGGCGAAATGTTGCGAGTGGACATGACTAGTATTCTGAATGAAAAAAGTCAGCAAATACAATTATGAAAACTGCAACACTCTTCATAGTTATTTCTAACTTTCTGGAGGTAAGAAACACGTTGTCTACCATACAATATTTGTCGACAATACGGGGTCCAGGAGTGAGACCGTTGTAAAGTATTGCCGAGACATACAACACACTGACCTGACCTCCATGTGTGTATTACAGGTTATTAAAACAACTATACTGTATGTTATTGACTATTTATTTTTCGACTAATCCGACCGGCTTGTCAGTGATGTGTCTCTCTTACAGCAAGCGATGATGGTGAATAACCCGACCTGGGACGATGCGAGCTCTCTAGCCATGGTAGGTGTGTCTTACATGCTGTTGATGTCGTTATGTCTGCTTATTCAACCTCGCAGAATGAATATATGTATAGGTAAATCTTCAGTAAAATCACTAAACAAATATACAATATCTAAATATGTATTAAGACACTGCAGGTATACATTATACCTTTCAGGCTAATCTTGTAAGCTCACTATCTGCACTGGCCACGCGATATCCGGCACAAGTAACTCAACAAACAACCTACCAACTACAAACACCGCTGTTTGATGGGCCTGAACTACACCACAACCCCTCACCACCACAGCAACAACAGCCTATGGTATAAAATGGCTCATTAGTGGGTTAAGTGATTGATGATAAAGATAAATAATTCAATATTGTTGACAAGAAACTTTTGTTTGAAGTCAGTGAATGTTTGATGTTGAATTTACTAATGGATTAAATTGATATTGTGAAACCTCCATATAACGGGAGTCTCTCTCCACATAATCCGTGAGATGGGGGTTTTCATATCTAGCGGACCCTCGATATAACGGACTTAATTCACTGTATAGTTATTTAAATGGAGGTTTCGCATATAATGTGCCCTGAATATAACGAACTTTCTTCTATATAGTCCGTTAGATGGAGGGTTCTCATATAACGGACCCTCGATATAATGAACTTTACTCTATATAGTCCGTTAGATGGAGGGTTCTCATATAACGGACCCTCGATATTATGGACTTTCCTCTCCATACAGTCCGTTAAATAGAGGTTTCACTTTTTTTGTATTTAACCATGAAAATATTAATAGCTTCCCCATTCACCTGTGTAGACTGATTTAGTGAAGGAAGCGATGGAAAGGAATGAGGTGGTAATGACTGATACAAAGACAGAACCTTATCACTGTATAATCTGCCGGAAGAGATTTAACAGCCCCGGCACCCTCCTGGATCACCTGAAGAGTAAAGGCCACTCAAAGGAGGTGAGATTTCATACGTCTGTGATTAACTGAAGATTAACCCACCTAGCTTATTCCACCGTAATATTAACCTAACTTAACCTAACCCACCTAGCTTATTCCACCGTAATATTAACCTAACTTAACCTAACCCACCTAGCTTATTCCACCGTAATATTAACCTAACTTAACCTAACCCTCCTAGCTTATTCCACCGTAATATTAACCTAACTTAACCTAACCCACCTAGCTTATTCCACCGTAATATTAACCTAACTTAACCTAACCCACCTAGCTTATTCCACCGTAATATTAACCTAACTTAACCTAACCCTCCTAGCTTATTCCACCGTAATATTAACCTAACTTAACCTAACCCACCTAGCTTATTCCACCGTAATATTAACCTAACTTAACCTAACCCTCCTAGCTTATTTTACCGTAATATTAACCTAACCTAACCCTCCTAGCTTATTCCACCGTAATATTAACCTAACTTAACCTAACCCTCCTAGCTTATTTTACCGTAATATTAACCTAACCTAACCTAATATAACCTATCCTAATTTAACGTAACCTAACAAAATCTACCATAGCTAACCTAACCTAAACTAACCTTAGCTAACCTAATTAACCTAAGCTAACATAATCTAACCGAATCTAACCTAAGGTAACCTAATCTAGCCTAACCTAACTCTCCCAGGTAGCTTCAAGGTGTTTAATCACTAGGTGAAATATGCTAGGGGTTTAATCTTCAGGTAATCTTATTTATTATACGGTTTTAATGTATCCACACAACTTTTTCTTCACAAACTATAAAAACATAGAGTTAAAAATTAATAAAACTCTATAGCTTAAGTTATTTCCATCCTTTGGTAGTAATTAATAGTCACTTTTAGAATGAGTCATTGAACACCTTATTGTTCAGTCTAGGAAGTGAAGATAATCGAGTACAGTGTGTTTCTATTATATATCGTTAGGTCTCTAGTGTCCATTTATTTTTTCTAGTTATTAACCTGAAGTAAACTGCCTCTTAACGTCAATGATCTTCTTCCAGCAACGTAACCGAGGCTCCATCAGTTCCTCCTCATCCTCAGTTACAAGTGTTGGCTCAGGGGTGAGTATTAACACCTTTACTGATCAGCTATACTATACCTGTGTCGTCTCAGTGTTACTCTCCTCCTTGGGGCGGTGGTGAGGGTGGGGACGGCGCTCAACCACTATTTTTATATTCCCACAACTCATGATTAATATTATAAGAACAAATGGAGCTATTATTTTATATATTCATCATCAAAAAACTTTTATTTATTTTTTTGTATTGTGCATATAATTGCTATAAATCTTGTTAATTCTGTACAGATTGAGTGTCGGAGCCAAACATTGGTATATCGTGCACAGTCACAGCCCAGAGGTCATGTGTACGTCTTCAACTACACCTTCCCTGGTCAAAGGGGACGGGAGCGGCAGGGCGCGTGTCACGATACCACGAATCTGAGAAGCACGTTCGACAACATGGGTTATGAGGTGTTCGTGTGCCAGGACTACTCTAAGACTAAAACTTTGAATGAATTGATTAAGATCATAAATGATCCTAGACTAGGCCAGGTAGACGCGTTAATTATATTCTTCTTAAGTCATGGCAGTGATGCTTATACATTTTATAGCAATGATTGCGAGAAACTCAGTTTATTAGATATTAGATATTTATTCACTGACAGTAAATGTCATTACATGAAGAACAAACCTAAAATATTCTTCACAAATTATTGTCGAGGGCAAAACATGGAGAAGAGAGAAACTGACGCACTACTTGACGTCCCCACCTTCATGGCGACTATCCACGCGGCCGTCGAGGGGGTCATGGCTATACGTAACTTAGGAAACGGGACTTATTTCGTTAAGTGTCTGTGTGAGGTACTGAGGGAACACGCAGCTGACCACGACTTACGACGCCTGTACTCTAGGCTGTATGAGAAGATGGATCAAGAAAACAGCACCAAGCCAATGTGGGAAGATTATGGATTCTTAACGGAATTTTACTTTTAATCCACTTCTGTAAATCCTCAGAGAGAGATTTTCTACGCCAAAAATATAGACTCGTATATAAATAACGTTAACACCAATCAGCTGAAAGATAAAGTCATGTAGAATAGATATGTTCTCGTATTTGTGCATCTGGAGTCGACTGAGTATCTCTAACTCTCCTTTTTAATCAACTTTGAAGTTTGATTATTCCTGTGATATTGTGTTGTGTTGTATTGCGTTTGAAGACCTCTCTCTCTCTCTCTCTCTCTCTCTCTCTCTCTCTCTCTCTCTCTCTCATTTACAACTAATACTTCTTACTTTAGTAGTTTATTTAAATATTTCAAGCCAGTTCTGTTCGGGTGAGTTAAGTCGCTCATACACGAGAGAATCCTGAGGTTTGTTTTGCCTTTCTTCATCTGTCATCACATTAAACCTTTCATTCTGTTGTTGTTGTCGTTTCCGTTTGGTTCCTTTTTCTTTCCGGTTTTGATTTATTTTCCGTCGTTTTTATTTTAGTTTAACCTTTTGCAATTAATTATATCTGGTGTTACCGCGCAAAGGTGCTGTGTCCGCTGTGTAAGATATCCATTATGTCCGTTTTTGATTGTTACATGGAGGTTCTGCATCATTGAGAGAACTGTGATGGCTCATGATGTCACTACAGTTCAGAGATTACGGGTGCATCTCACCTTGGTTGTCTCGCCCAATTTTTAACATATTTGATATTTTTATTTACATGTTTGTTTGTATTATACGTTCGATGCAATGTTTTTGTTTCGTTGTAATTTATTTTATATTTTATCAACAATTGGCTGACACAACATCAAAGTCAAACAACAAATTGAAAAAAAAAATCAGTATCTCTAAATATATTTTGTTATAAGTTGACAAGTGTTTGCTTTCTGTGTGTGTGTTTGTGTGTGTGTGTGTCTGTTTGTCTGTCTGTCTGTCTGTATGTATGTATGTATGTATGTATGTATGTATGTATGTATGTATGTTTGCGTCTCTATGTCTGTCCCTGTGTCTGTCTGTGTGTGTGTTTATTCCCGATATCTGAACACTTTGTACCTTCAGCTGAAATAAATAGTAAATGAAAAAAAATGGGTGTTAATTCTGTACCTGTTGTGGAGGCTCTTTCTCTCTCAGTAGAAGGATATCAGTCTTAGTCATATCCTGAATAATTTACTTCACATCCTGAATCTATGTCCTCTTCGTTCCCTCCCCTCTTTATCTTCCTCTCGCTTTCCCTCCCTCTTTCTCCCTCTCTTTCTCTTTCCCGTTTATTTCCCCCTTGCTCTCCCTTCCCTTTCTCCTTCACGTCCCTCCCTTCCTCACCTTCCTCCCTTCCTTGCTCTCCCTCCCTCTCCTTCAGCCTCCCTCCCTTCCTTGCTCTCCCTCCCTCTCCTTCAGCCTCCCTCCCTCCCTCCCCTTATTTCCCGCCTTATAACCGGCTGTCACCAACCATTGAGGGACAAATGACAGCTTTTCACCCCCTCTATATTCCATTACAGCTGTCCATGTGTTTCTATTAAATCATTTCACGCTGCTTCCCCGAGGTCAGCTTTCCCTCCCACCTGTTCACCATAATAACATGGTGAGGTGGTCTTACAGGAGGTAGGGGTGGTCTTAAGGGGGGGTAGGGGTGTCTTAGGGGTAGGGGTGGTCTTAGGGGTAGGGGTGGTCTTAGGGGGTAGGGGTGGTCTTAAAGGAGGTAGGGGTGGTCTTAAGAGGGTAGAGGTGGTCTTAAAGGGGGTAAGGGGGTCTTAAATGGGGGATGGGGCTAGGGGGTGACCATAAGCTACGACACACGAGTAGAATGGTGACAAAATTACACTGAGACACTCTCTCTCTCTCTCTCTCTCTCTCTCTCTCTCTCTCTCTCTCTCTCTCTCTCTCTCTCTTCGCCCGCCTGCCTCCCCCCAGCACAATATTGACGCTCATAACTCTTTGTTGGACTTTGCCGGGAGTTTGGGACCTGCACGCCTTTCAAGACGACGTCCATATTTTTGTGAATATTAACAACTTTTCCATTAATAGTTCCTCGCTCGCATGCCTCAAAAAGTTCCCGCCCGCCCTGCCTCTCTCTCCTTCTCCCCCTCCTTCTCCCACTCTTCCTCCCACTCCTCTAAAACTCTCTCCCAGGGGTGTTTATAAGTATTTTTTTCCTCCCCGTCTTGTCGTGGCTGCGTCTGAGTTCCGAGTACAGTGTCTCGGGAGATGACTTCAACAGATGAGAATGATGACTTCACTTATATTAGGTTAGAAGAGATGAGGTTAGGTTGGGTTAGGTGTGGTGTGGTGTGGTGTGGTTAGGAGGTTAAGTTAGGTTTAGTGAGATGAGATTAAGATAGGTTAGACAAGATTAGGTTAGGTTAAGTTAGGTCGTAGACTATACAGCCTAAGTGTTTCTTCTGTTAAATTATTATTCCTCTTGACAAGGGATCACTGAATACTTTTAATGAACGGTCTAGTCTCAATCAGTATCAACGCCATATTGAGAACCATAATTATGTATGTAGTACCTTAGGTTGGCCAGTTGGGACACGAAGGTATATAGTCTAAATCAATGTTGACGCCGCCATATTGAAAACCATTATTGAATTAAGAGACAAATTCAGACTATATAACTTCTGAGACACCTGAACCAGGATTCTGAGAAGTACATACGTGGATTTCCTCCTTTATTGAACACACCTGTATGAGTAAATTACAGGGTATAATTAAGGTATGGGTTATAGGGGCCATTAACACATGTAATCCCAGAGGAGGAAAGGGAGAAGGGGGGATGAGGGGGGTGTACCAGGTGAGGGCTGAGCTCGCTGTCTTCACCCGCCAAGTGAGGGGAGAGAGATACAGGGAGGGGGAGAGAGATAGAGGGAGGGGGAGAGAGATAGATGGAGGAGGAAAGAGATGGAGGGAGGGGAGAGAAATAGCGGGAATGGAGAGAGATGGAGGGAACGCGGAATATGACTCCTCCTCAATATTCAGAAATCCATCACGATACTTCCCTCACAGTGTTGCCAATGTGGACAGCTGATGCTTTCTGAGGAGGAGGAGGAGGTAGGGAGAGGAGAAGAAGAAGGAGTAGGAGGTAAGAAAGGAGGGTTTAGTAAGAGGTAGAGAAGGAGTAGGGGAGGAGGAGGAGGAGGTAGGAAGAAGAGGATGTGGTAGGAATAGAAGTGAGGTAAAAAAAGAAAGGTGAGGAAGAGAAACGAAAGGAAGAAGAAGGGGAATAGGAAGAGGAATGAGGTAGAAAGAGGAAGGAGGAGTATGAGGAGGTAAGAAGAGGGAAAGGAAACTTTTCAGCTCTATTGGTATTCAGTCTACACTACTCGTTGGGTAGATGTACTTCCCTATCATCGCCTCTCCGTATATATCATCTCGATCTTGTAATTTTTGTTCTTAATTTATCTCTAATAATAATAATAATAATAAGTCTTTCAGGGGCGAATCTGAGACACTTGTAGTTGTTGGCGCTACTGCTGGGGGGATGGTTGTACTCCCTTGGGGGCGTCGCCATACTGAAGAAGCAAGAGCGGACTGTCACTGCTTATAGTAGATATTGGGATTTATTTGACGTCATTACCATAATACTTCCCGCGCCCAGTTATCAGAGCTAATGGAATATTTCTCCCGGTGTGTGTGTGTGTGTGTGTGTGTGTGTGTGTGTGTGTGTGTGTGTGTGTGTGTGTGTGTGTGTGTGTGTGTGTGTGTGTGTGTGTGTGTGTGTGTGTGTGTGTGTCAAGAAATGATATCTGTGCCGCTTCTTCCAAGACTAACCTCATCTGATATTCATAGAGACGAAAAGTTTTCCATTTTTGTAATTGGGGGAGGGGTGAATTCTTGTCTCCTCTCTCTCTCTCTCACACCTATTCCCATTACCACAGCTTACATCTCTTCAGTCCCTTCTCTTCCTTCCATCCCCATCCTTCTCCACCCTATCCCCTTCTTCTCCATACACCTCCTTCCGCTCCTTCCCACCCTACACTCTCTTCCTTCCCTCCTTCTCCTGCGCCCTCACACCTCCACCCCCCTCGTCAACAGTTCAATACAGGTATAGGCATCAAAGAATATATTTTACCCCTCATCACCTCACAATGCCCCATCACCTCACAACTCCCCCCTCATCCCCATCACCTCACACCATCACCACAACCCCCATCACCCCACAACCCCCATCACCTCCCCTCATCACAACCCCCTCATCACCTCACAACTCCCCCATCACCTCACAACCCCACATCACCCTCACAACCCCCCCATCACCTCACAACTCCCCTCATCAACTCACAACCCCCTCATCACCCCACAACTCCCCTCATCACCTCACAACTCCCCCATCACCTCACAACCCCTCTCATCACCTCACAACCCGCTCCCCATCACCTCACAACTCCCCTCATCACCCCACAACCCCCATCACCCCACAACCCCCATCACCTCTCCCCTCATCATCTCACAACTCCCTCATCACCCACAACTCCCCCCTCACAACTCCCCCATCACCTCACAGCTCCCCCATCACCTCCCCATCATCACAACCCCATCACCTCACAACTCCCCTCATCACAACTCCCCATCACCACAACCCCACATCACCTCACAACCCCCATCACCTCACAACTCCCCTCATCAACTCACAACTCCCCATCACCTCACACCTCACCCCATCACCTCACAACCCCTCTCATCACCTGCCCCATCACCTCACAACTCCCTCATCACCTCACAACCCCTCATCACCTCACAACCCCCATCACCTCACAACTCCCTCATCATCTCACAACTCCCTCATCACCCCCCCCCATCACCTCACAACTCCCCATCACCTCACAGCTCCCATCACACAACCCCTCTCATCTGCCCCCCATCACCTCACAACTCCCCCTCAGCTCACGACCCACAGATGAAAATTTGATGTCAGCAGAAGATAAAAACGGAGGCAAGTTCTAATACTCTCGCGAGAAGCTTTTATGTTTTATTAAAAAGAATCAAAGCGTTAGTGAAGGTGAACGTGTCGTGATTATCTGAGACACTGGCCTTGGGGGGAGATGGGTAGGAGGGGTCAGGATGATATTACAGTTATCAAGATCAACGTTATTATTATTATTATTATTATTATTATTATTATTATTATTATTATTATTAACACTATTGTTTTAATTGTGTGTGTGTGTGTGTGTGTGTATGAGTGTGTATGTGTGTGTGTGTGCGAGTGTGTGTGTGTGTGTGTGTACAGGCACCCAGTTCGCACTTAATGGCCCAACATGGAACAAATATATTTAACATGACGACATCTTTTATGGCTCTTAGAACACTCTTGCTGAATTTATTGTTGTGCGTTGTGATCTGTGAGTGTTTATTGTGGAGGGGTGAGGTGATGGTGGGGGCCTTGTAGGGAGAGTACAGTACAGTACATTAGAGCACAAAACATGTGCTAACTTCGGTAGAGATTGGGTACAAACTGGTCTATGCTATAGGTTCGGTATTTATCTTACAGTATTGTGATGTTTTGTGTTCGTACCAATAGTTCGGGTGAGGAGTGTTCTGTAACCATATGGTTGGCAAAAGCCACCTGGACGATACTAATTAGTAGTCCCGGTAAGGTCTAGTGGTGGATATTACCTGCTCAAGAAATACACACTGATCCTCGGGACGGACTAACCAACACGTTTAGCAGACCGAAATGTGAGAAGACTGACCGAGAAAGGAGTCACATAGGTCACTCGGTCTTATCGTGGTGAAGCTGTGTTAAAATTCCTAGTCTGTGTTACGTAGGAAGCCCAGATTTTATGTCTAAGCTAGGATTAAAGTGTGATGGTGTTATGTAGGGTAGATGGAGGCTAGTGTGTGTAGGGGGGGGGGGGCTGACTCCCTTGGCACACTACTAGCTATAAGCTGAGTATATGAATGAAAATATATATTGCGTAAATACCGTTTGCGTAATATTAGTTTCTTTCAAATTAGTTATCTACAAGTGATCGCGGACCCTTCGTGCCCTTGTGAAAGTTTTAATGCTCGTGACAGCGTACAGCGAATGAGGGTGCGCCAAGTCCTTAGACTTGCATGGATTTCCATCGTAAATAAAAATTTTAATTAATGCCTTCCTAAAGAAACCATCGACATGGGACCAGGTTTGTTCCACTCTACGAATTTTTCTGCGATTTTTCCACCAAGTTTGATGAAAAACGATTGTGCCGTTTCGGCTGCCCAGAACAGACACACACACAAACAGACAGGTCTTAAATAGCGGGGGTAGGCGTGGCTTAGTAGTTGACCTCCGTGATGTATGGCGGCGCTGGTTGACCTAGACCACGAGGCATACACTGGGGAATTCGCGGGGTCGGCTACTCAGCGACAAATAGCGTTTGTAGGGGAGAAATCCACTACTGTATCTATCACTTACTGCTGAAGATAAAGGATGGTATTTTTTCCCCCCGTTTCTGTGACCTTATGTTATTTTGTTGAGTACTATATTGTAAGTCTGTTTCCTTTGTATAATTGGAGGAAATGTATTGATTATTCTGTTTTTCTTGATCATTTGCTGTAAAAGTTACTGCTGTATTTGTCTTTATTCTCAAGTTTGTTTCTATGTTGGAGTCTGTATGTCTGTGGTCTTGTCGTAGGTGAGGGAATAACTACGTAAGTTAATGTTAATTTTTTATTCGTTTTCTAGAAGCTTTATAGTTTACAGAAAATGTTTCATATATGAAGACTAACTAAGGCATTTTTAATTCTTCTGGACAAGTGATATAGCTGGTCTGTAATAGTGGCTTCAGTGATTGATTTTAGAATATATCACATGTACAATGAAATACAATATGGGTATGAAGAACAATAACAAGTACACATTATATAGTACAATTAATATTAGAGTACACTACTCCAGGGATATTACACTAAGAAACACAAACAAATGACCTTGTATATTTTTAATAGTAACATCCCATAGGAACTTTAATTACGACACATAATAGAATATAAATTACCTTTAAGTTACCTTTTGATTATTTCAGGTATCCAAAGAGGTTATTACGCCTACTTATAGTACAGGCGGGCAATGAGTAACAAAATATACACCTCACAGGACATTGCATAGTCGAGTATTCATACTAGAAACTAGGGGATGTCCTCCCCACTAGAGATCACAGCCTCAGGTTAATATTCACAGGTGCAACAAATTGTCAGGGTAAACTATTTCATGGTGAGGGTTGTGAACTGTTGGAACAACCTGCTAGAGAGTGTTGTGACGGCACCGAGTGTGAGTTCATTCAAGACCAGACTAGACCAACACTGGCGCAAGTACAGATACATTCTGGAACCAGCACATGTCCTGAACTTGCCAACAGTGCGTAACACAGACGTGACCGACCGCCCAAGCGGCTAACGGGCCGATTGGTGGCGAAGAAGATGAAGTAAATTTTCAGCTAAGTCTAGCATTATTGTTGTTGTTGCTGCCGTTGTTCCTGATAGTTATGGTAACGGAGGAGCCGATGTGGCTGGTGCTTTTAATGTTGTTGTTGTTGCCAGTGCTACATGGCTGTTGCTTCTCTTATTGCTCTCGTTGGTAGGTTTCCTTCCTTTGTTCGTAGGCGATGGCGGCGGGCAAGAAGAACCAGATGATGACGGCGATGAAGGCGGTGAAGGACAACACGTAGATACTGATGGTGTAGCTGCCACTCAGGTCACGTATCATACCTGAAGGGGAGATACACACACACACAAAAGTTAACCAATGATACACACACATACGCACACAAAGACTATGGGATCTCCACTACACCCCCAGCCCACACATATTGTATTGTACTTGCCAAAGAGGGGAGACGAGATGAGGAACCAGAAACCATTGACGAAGGCGACGAGACCAAGAACCTGCATCAGTTTCTCCTTGCCCACATACTCCAGGAGGATGAGGTTGTAGAGACTCATAAAGGCCCCCACACCCACTCCCCACACTCCCATCACCGCCGCCACCAACCACAACTCCTTCACGAAGCAGAATACTGTTATGGGATGAAAATATGGGAGGTCGTGATTGATATGGGTGTGTTTTTTTTTTGTTTTTTTTTTATACGGGATAGAATGCAACACATACACACACACATATTCGGTTTAATAAGCTCTTTGTATCAACAGCACTTACCCACAACAGTGAGACCGAGGATAAAACTACCAGCCATGTAACAACCTCGCTTACTGAACCTGGGACAGTCCGTCAACAAGGACACCAGGAGGCGGATCACCAGGTTACAGATGCCGGACACTGACATACACCATGCCGCTTCTTCCTGTGTGAAACCTCGCTCAGCCATCACCGCCGGCATAAACACGAAGAAGTTGGCGGAACCCACCGCAGTGAGGCTGCTGCAGAACACGAGGATGAGGATCTTGGGACTCTTGAAGAGCCTAAAGCTACCAGCCACGTCCAAGATGCCTTGAAACAGTATCACAATGACTCTAGGCTTGGTACTGGTGTGCTGAGGCACTTTACCCTCTAGTGTTGCCTCTTTCTTGTGTGTCGGGTGTTTAATGTGCCACTCCACGGGATGGAAGAGAGCCGCGGCCTCTACGTTGTTCAGTGTCAAGGCTCCAACGATGAGAGAGGCTCCCCTGAAACCGTACATCTGCTGCAGGTAGGTCACCAGGGGAGGTCCTACCATCTGACCCATGCACACACCAGCGGATATGAAGGCGTTTGCCCGCCCCAGGTGTCGTATGAAGTAATTCGGTAGAATGGCAAGCGAGACGATACTCAGCACCCCAGACCCTAAACCTAAAGTTAGAAACAGTGAAGAAATACTTTTATTTTTGGTCAGCTCAATGTACAGTACATTACCTCAACACGTTAACTGATGGGCCAACTTGAGATTGAACCTAACTTGTAATAATGGTCTCCGGTAACAGACTTTTTGGGGTTATTTGAGAGGAATTTCGGTTTAGCCCAAATGACTGGGAGACGTGAGCTACCTCGTGATCGGTATGCGGCCCATTGTTGTACTACTGTCTTGATATATTGACGTATTGCAGTATATCTGACTATGTTTGGGTGGCTCTCTCAAGAAGTTTCCTGGGAAGGAAGGTGTTCCGTGGCTGTGAGACTTTATAGGTATGAAGATTTAAATTCTGTTAGATAGGTTTTTTTTGGGGGGGGTGGGGGGCGGAGGGTCAGGGGGGAGCTAGGGGGCTGTAAGTCATGAACAGGAGTCTTCGGTTAGTGGACCTACCTGGCTACACACCAGTGAAATTCGGTAGTAAAGGCAATAATATTGAGGTGACTAATATAAGTTTTTCTCTTGTCTGTTTTCATTAGTATACAGGGTAATGTGTATGTCACTTTACCCAGAATAATGTATATATGTGAGTTTATTCTCAATGAAGTGATTTATGCGCCACCCTGTACATCAGAATACACAGCCATAGACATTAACGAAACAATAACTAACTTTCTATTATACAGTATGAGATGAAGAGATGCCAGGCAGACGTTGCAAAGGCCGAAGTACACATGCCAAGACTCGTCATGAGAGCTCCCACGAAGGCAACCTTCCTGTGGCCAAATTCCCTCACGGCAGGAGCCACCAGCAGTGATCCCAGGCTGAACAGAGCCGTCGACGCACTAAATAACCAGCCAATGGTTGTTGAGGTCTCCCCATTCTCCAGCAGGAACCCAGAGAAGAGAACACCGAAGCAGGGTCCCTTGATGTTGACGATGGTCTGTGGGATGAGGAAGAGTTTTAAGGTGCCGGATTTAAGGTATTTTAAGGCCTCCAGTTCTCCCTTTAGTATTTAATAGACTATCTCTACTAACCCCTTCACTACTTTTAATATTCTACTCGGTTAACGCCAGACGATTGTATTTAGCACAGAGGCGACCCCGTACACAAGGGGTTAGTAGACTATCTCCACTAAAGTAATATAGACAAACATTATGACACAGAAATGGTTAAATCTCATTTACAGCACAATTTTAAAGTTATGATAAAAATAATAGTAACAAAATCAAAGTTGTTGTTTTTTTTAGTATTTACAGCATATTTTTGTTTATGTTTTCGACAGCAAAATTAGGCAATAATTTTCTTGAAGTACAAAACTTTTCATCAGTGTCTCATTGAACTGAACTGTACTGGTCATGTTATCAGAGCCATGAACTATATAAAACCATTGGCAGTTCTACTTCATATTCTGGAGTGCATTTGACCCCCTTTGCCGATGAGGGATTGAGTGTGATCTACTTATTTTATTTTTGTGTGCCAGCTCCGTATTGCTGCATCACGCCTGCTTCTGCCCGTATGTGATGCAAGCTATTTTGATATAAAAAAAAGGTGAAGGGCATTTTTTTTGGGGGGTGGAGGATCACAAGATCACTTTTTTATAGATAATTGTTCTTGATCATTAGTTTAATTTCACAGTTGATTTAAGAATATTTCCTAAACCAGATGGTAAACATTGTCTTGCTTTTATATTCTGCGGATCATTGTAAACAGACGAGACTCCATGTTGAATGTAAACAAGTGGAATTAATTTTGTTAGTTTATAATCGTGATTTTTTTTCCTGTGTCTGACTCCTGCATTTATAACGAGACAACATGGACTAAAATGGTGATATGTCCCTTATACTTCACAAAAATTGATTCACCATATATCACCTGTCTCTGTTACCAAGTCCCTCACACACACACACACACACACACACACACACACACACACACACACACACACACACACACACACACACACACACCTGACTCGTCATAATCACACGTAAAAGCTAAAGCCTATGATCCTGATTATCTCCGAAACCCGATTCATTTTACCTCTTCTTCTTTAGCATCAGAATCATTCCCTCCAGGTCATCAGCCAACACAACGGACCGGGGTGTGAAGTTTTTGGTTGTCCTTCTACTTCATCGAGTAACTCACCTATCGGGGAGGACTCATCCCCTGGTGCATAGTATTAGTTTTACATGAACCACCAACTATTACTCGTGGTGCTGTAACACTTGTAACTAACAGAGAAAAATAATTCGTTTCAGTGATTTCTTAACGTTCTCAATGTTTCTACAGCATTATTTTATTTTATTTTATTCTATTTTTGGGGGGGGGGGCGGGCGGGCACCGATTGACAGTTTTTCAGTTGGCGGTGACGCACAAAGGTCAATAAATAACATTTTGCATTTTTAATTAACTGTTGACAAATATAGCAACAAATAACGTAGGAGACATATACTTTGAGTTCGAGTTTATGAATTTTTAATACAATAAACCTGGGAGACAAATGACACGTTTATACTCACCATGATAACAAAGCAGCCAACACTGACGGCGTATCCCCAGCCTCCGTCAGGTACGTCCTCCCTCTCGTCGCTCTTACACACTTCCCTGGAGCACTTACACTCCCCTAACTTCCTCGCCTGAGTACAGTGTGTCTGGCAACATTGTTCTGTGTGTGTTGTAACATATTCGTTGTTTTCTACATCTGCTTTTGTGACACTAGAATCTCCTCTTTCAAAATCTATCTCGGAGGATGTTTGGGTGGTGGTGGTGGTAGTGATGGTGGGGGTTGTGTGTGTCTGGTGTTGCGTCGTCGTCAGAGTGTTACTCTCCTCCGGCGCTCTCGTGGTAGAATCATCTTGAGTATTGTCACCAACATAACTCACATTCCAGTATCCAATTTCCACAATCTGTGTCTTATTTTTACTAACATTGAAAATATGACATAAGTTCGACATTTTTGCTGTAAGTCGTTGTGTGTGTGTCGTCTCGTCGCAAGGTCCTCCCAGCTGTCACTTTTGTCTTCAGTGTCGATGGTTTGTATTTCAAGACTCACTCGTTATAAACAACACGACTGCTGTTGATTCTGTGATAATCTAAGTAAACTGTAGCGGGTATAAGTCTTGATTGGTGGAACTGGCATCCTGCGAGAGGGACAAGAGAGTGAGTGAGGTTGTTGTTGGCAGCGAGGAAGTTTTACCGTCAAATGAACTCACCGTGTGTCAGCCTTTTCACTCGGTCTTCACCACCTGTCTCAACTCTTGGGCACATTTTTATCCTTACTTGTTCAGACATATTTTCACGTAAATTTTAACCTGGTGTTTTACTTTTGATTTTTTTGTCTTTCCGTTATACTGCCATCCAACACAATCATCCTTACAATCTAATTTACGAGATATAACTTTCATAAGGTGTGAATGAAACACTTTTGGGGGAGCTCTGAACAGACGTTTTGCAATTGTTTGTGCCCGAGGTGACATAATGGCCACTGACCGTACATTAATGAAGGTCTCTTGCTCGTGGAAACTGCCAGGGCTCTCTATGATACAACCAGATATACTTCATCTCTACTATGTAACCCACCGTCTCTCGGCCATCCATCCAGGTGTAGATACAAATAAAGGCACAGATACAAATACAGGTACATATGATCGAGGTGTGTAAATGGAAGTCAGGGCTAAACAAAGGTGATATAACAAAGGTACTCAAACTATCCAACCAGGAGCGAACTCGTAACAATGGTTTTAAATTAGACAAATTTAGATTGAGGCGCGAAATAGGTAAACATTGGTTTGGAAATAGAGTAGTGGATGAGTGGAACAAGTTACCAAACACCATCATTAACTCGAATACGCTGGATAGCTTCAAACAATATGTTGAATGGATATATGAGCAATAGGGGTTGGGTGTAAATGGGACTGCCCAGTATGGGCCAATAGGCCCGCTGCAGTTTCCTTCATTCTTTTGTTCTTATGTTCTTATACAACCACACAATCTCCGACAAAGAAACACAAATTTATTTCACTCAAAATCGAATCAAATTGCCAACTCTCCTGCAGAAGTAATTTCATCCCTACCACCAATCCCCCACTGCTACTCCGGGTTCTTGGGTCAGGTACCGTAAAGTGACAAAGACCATCTGATTCTTCACCCTCTTGCGGTCACCAACTGGCGCAAAATTTCGTCAAAAGTTTTCGCGAAGGTCAGATAATGTTTTTGTGTGTGTTTCTGAAGATTGCCAAAACTGATACTTGGCTGAGTGGGTTAAAAGGAGTCTCACCTGTTTTACCTGTTAGCTGGGTGTTAATATTCCTTACTACATCGACCACCGTACTTCAGCGACCACCTTACACCAGCTACTACCTTACTCCAGCGACCACCTTACATCAGTGACAATATATTTTCTCCTCCTCTGTTGTCATTATCCAAATTTAATCCTCTTCCGCCAGTGGTATTAAAAAAAATCTTTTCGACTATTAGTACAGGTTTATGGTAGGAGTATTGAGGTGTGGCGGTGGTGGGTCTTTTGACGGCTGGGAGGGACTAATTTTTTCCCCTTCTCCTGATTTATGATGTACTCGTAAAAACATGTTATTCCTCACACCATTCATAGTTAAGCTTTAAATTGGGATAAGAATAATATTTAAACACAATTGTTCCTTTTTCTTAGTTTTGGTACATTGATTTATTTATTTTGTTTCATTTTTATATTGTTAAGAGGATGATGTTGATTATTCTATTAAAAAAGAAGACGTTTGAACATTTTATTTTCACATTTTAATTTCAGTCACAATAATGGTACAATAATTTTCTAAAAAGGTTGCGATTTTTTTTAATAATCTTTCACATATAATGATTAATCGGATAATACGTAGAGAATTTCAAAAAATATAATATATTTAACAATATCATAACATATTTGAGTTAATAAATACTGATTAAACATGATGATGATGATGATGATGATGATGATGATGATGATGATGATGATGATGATGATGGCGTCACATGTACAACAACAATAAGTGGAATACCATACGACATATTTTAAGACACACACACACACACACACACACACACACACACACACACACACACACACACACACACACACACACACACACATTAATTAGAACCAACACAAATATTTTATTTTGGCAGCAGACAAAGATTAACGTACAGAACCTTTCAAGAGATTGTGTATGTTAATTTTGTCATCAAACTTGTATTGGTAAGGAAGAGTCTCAGTAGAATTATGGTCCTATTGTTTAATGTTTGGAACTTTAGTTGAAGGTAATGAAATTGATACATTATTTCGGTCGTTCCTGTGTGTGTGTGTGTGTGTGTCTTACCGAAACAGGTGGGTATGTTCTCCACGGACCAGCTGGTAATGAGGCAGGTGGTAGTGATGTATGTGGTACTGTCGGGGAAGATGCCATCACAGGTGTATTGTACCACCTGTCCGTAACCCGCTGACCCCGTGAAGTTATTGGTGACCCGAGGTGGTGACTCAGGTGGTAATGACAAGCACGCTGTGTGTTATTAAACATCTCAAAACAAACTTCCATTTTTTCCACTTAAAACAATATATTCTTTTTACATAATTACAGTAAAAATCATTATTATGAATTAACAACAAGTATGATAAGTAACAAGACGTTACTTAAGAGTGAGAGTCAATAAGGGAGTGACTGGGGTAAGAGTGAGAGTCAATAAGGGAGTGACTGAGGGTAGAGTGAGTCAATAAGGGAGTGACTGAGAGTCAGTAAGGGAGTGACTGAGGGTAGAGTGAGAGTCAATAAGGGAGTGACTGGGGGAAGAGTGACTCACCGGCGAAGCACTCAAAGGTGGGGTCGATCTCCGGCCAACCCTCCTCCAGGCAGGTGACGTTGATGTGGGTGTCTCCCGTTGCGGTGGTCTGGGGCGACGGACACATGTACCTGATGGTCATTCCCACCCAGTAGGGCGGCGGAGGCTCTATGTAGCTGTTGCCGGGGGCCACGGGAGGAGGGGCCGGCGCCACTGTCACAACAACACTGAGTTAGCAACACATAACCTAACCTAACCCGTCCCACACACACTTGAAGGACCATTGACTCACTTGTCCCACACACACTTGAAGGACCATTGACTTACCTGTTCCACACACACTTAAAGGATCATTGACTCGCCTGTCCTACACACACACTTGAAGGATCATTGACTTACCTGTCCTACACAAGAGGTAGTCCAGGGGCACGGTGGTCCAGTTACCGTCGGCGCCGCAGTTGATGGTGACGGAGGTGTTGAGGTCTGGCAACACCTGGCCGTTCGAGCACGAGAACACCACCTGGGGACAAACTTGACCTCACACTCTTGTATGTGTAACGTCTGGGCCAGCATGTGACCCCAAGCTTCACCCGAACCTAACCTTATCTAACCTAACTTTATGTTAACTTGATCTAACCTAACGCTAACTATACCTGACCTAACTTAACCTAATATATCCCTTTCGCCCGTCCACACTCCCTTCCCTTTCACTCCCCTTCCTATCCTCTTATACTTTCTCCCGCCCTCCCTCCCTCCTTCCCTCCATCCATCTACCCCTCCCTTCCTTCCACATTCCCCTCCTCCTCCTCCCCCTCCTCCTCCTCCTCCCTTCCTCCCATCCATCTACCCTTCCTTTCCTTCCACACTCCCTTCCTCCCGCCCTTCCTCACCTTCACCAGGTATCACCACACACTTTAGGGCAGCTGTCTGACCTACCTCAGTACCGACGGTCCTGTTAACACCGTCCCAAGAGGAGTTGGTGGTGGGTGACGCTGCCATCGGGTCCTCCAGGCACACTGTGTGATACATGACACTGATGATACTGATACATAATGATGCTGATTATATAAAGGAATTTACAGTATACTTGAGGGAGAGTTAGTAAGGGGGGTAGGGGGTACTATCAGTCCACAGTAAGACAATACCACTCACTCTGCGCACACATCAGAGGGGGACCAGATGGCTCCCAGGTAGTAGCGCTGCAGGTGACGGAGGTGAAGGTGAGCAGCTCTGGATATTCCTGGTACGAGATAAAATCCTCCTTATATTACCTCTATTAAGCTTTATATATATACTTAATGATCTAATTAATTGTTATTACATTATATAGACATATTAACAAGCGTATCAGGACATAGATAAATGGATAAAGAAGAATAAGTAGAGACAACGAAGAGTTAGAGACACTGATTAGTAGACTGATAAAGATGAGTGTTTATCAGACACTCTTGTGGCTGACAAGTGTGGTGGTGTAGAGGGAGAAGCTGCCTGGTTTGTGAACACTGTGGTGATGTGGTAAAGGGAGTCAGTGAATAAGGTGGTAGGGGAGGAGGGAGGGGAAGGTAGGACTCACCTCACTTGGAGGGATGAAGTAACCAGAGGAACAGTTGTAGTAGAGAACCACGCCATCACCGTTCCAAGTCAGGTTATCCCGGGTCATGTTGGAGCCGGGAGTAGGAGGCGCATCCGCACAACCTGTAGGGAGAAGTCAGGAGGGTCAGGGTGAGGACATAAGGGTCAGGAGAGTCAAGGAGATGTCAGGGGGGTCAGGGAGAGGTCAGAAGGGTTAGGAAGAGGTCAGGAGGGTCAGGGAGAGTTCAGAAGGAGATCAAGAGGATTAGGAAAAGGTCAGGATGGTCTTGGGTGACACACACACACACACACACACACACACACACACACACACTCACCTGGGTAACAATACGGTGCAGACTGCCAGCCCTCGTAGGTACAGGCCAGGTGGCTGGTGGTGTGGGTCAGGTTCAACACATGGTTCTCAATACATGTGGCTGTCACGGTCATGTTGACAGTGTAGGTGGTGTCTCCGTCCCAGTCTGTCTCACTGTTGTTCCCCACTGGCTCTCTCGTACACACTGTCACAAGCATTAATTTGTCTTAGTTACCGTACCACTTATTACTTACATACTACAGTTTACTTATCAATTACTTACAGCCTTTACAACTTACTACATCCCCATCACATACAGTACTCACCGTCACAAGCCTGTACCACCTGAGGAGTAAACCGGTAGTGGGACTCGTTGTAGAGGCAGGTAATGGTCTGAAGGGATGCGCCCTCCTGAGTGGTCATATTCTCCGGACAGGTGAAGTTAACAGTGCCATTCAGGTAACGGAGGAGGGAGGTGGTGGTGTTGGTGATGAGGGAAGAAGGTGGAGCTGGTACTTCCTCCACACACACTGAGGGAGATAATTACCGTGAGGTGTTGCTACAGACATACAGGAACCACAAACACAGATATTCCCTATACGTATGAACCTCACAGACAAACATTCACAGCTTAATTAATATTACCTTACTCAAAACACCAGACAACATCACCTGGTTTATACAGAAAGTATTGAAACAGATAATTCTTCTTGTTTGTCTCACCCCACCTGGTCTGAAGGACAGGTGTGATGAAATATGCTCCAGAAAGGGTATTAGGAGGGTATTTAGAGAGAGAGAGAGAGAGAGAGAGAGAGAGAGAGAGAGAGAGAGAGATTTACCTTCAGTAGCTATGCAGTTGTGGAGTTCGCTGGGGTACCATCCACCTAACGGCCCCAGACACTCCACCCGCTGCACCGTCAGGCTCTCGTTCCCATTCACGAAGTAACCCGGGTAACACCTGTTGGCAGTACCTGAGACTATAACACCTGTTGGCGGTACCTGAGACTATAACACCTGTCCTCAATATCAAATGTTATCAACTCCTAATACTGAACAGATGTATATGGCGAGTGACAGGTGTACATTAAGTGGTGAGTGACAGGTGTAGATGGAGAGTGACAAGTGTAGATGGTGAGTGATAGGTGTAGGTGGCGAGTGACAGGTGTAGGTGGCGAGTGACTTACGTGTAGATGGCGAAAGAGGCGACAGCAGTGGTGTTATCCCATACTCTCGTACTGTTGGCTAGTGCTTCCGCTGGCCCCACCTTACAACCTGCAACGACACACGTTAATAACCCAGTTTATCCAGTTAAGATTATGTATTTAGCGCGCGCACACACACACACACACACACACACACACACACACACACACACACACACACACACACAGGCACTATAAAGCAGCCACGTTGTAGAGTCTCATTCATTGGCACTATACTCACCCAGAGGACCGTAGAGCTGACAGATGGCACCAGTGGCACCCTCCGCAGCTAGCGTGGTGGAGGTGAGGGTGGAGATGCTCTGGTCGATAGTGAGGAACCTCCAGTGAGATCCTGATGGGGAGATATCCGCCAGGGTGATCACATCTTCGTCAGGAGAATACAGACCTTCGCTGGTCCAGTCACCCAGGCTGTTGGGGAAGGTGGGTGAGTTGACAGTGTGTGTGTGTGTGTGTGTGTGTTAAGGAAGTCAACAGTACTCAGAAGCAACATACTCACGCGTCATTAAGGCCAATCATGAGGTTCTGTGTCTCCGCGGCCAACGTCATGCCATCCGAATCAGACGAGACCTGTAGACGATAGAGTGAAATAATTAAGACTCTCTCTCTCTCTCTCTCTCTCTCTCTCTCTCTCTCTCTCTCTCTCTCTCTCTCTCTCTCTCTCTCTCTCTCTCTCTCTCTCTCTCTCTCTCTCTCTCTCTCTCCCCCTCTCTCTCTCTCTCTCTCTCTCTCTCTCTCTCTCTCTCTCTCTCTCTCTCTCTCTCTCTCTCTCTCTCTCTCTCTCTCTCTCTCTCTCTCTCTCTCTCTCTCTCTCTCTCTCTCTCTCTCTCTCTCTCTCTCTCTCTCTCTCATCAGAAGTAGGGGCTGTCCTTACCATGGCCATGATAGTGAGGAAGCCAATAGCGCTGGGTGTCTCAGGGTAAGCTAGGGACGCTCCTTCTTCAGCACACTGCACCAACGCCTCCGTGAAGTTCCTGACATCAGACAACAACTTGTAGCAGAGACCGCCGTGTTCTGTGTAGTTGTTAGGGCACCAAGCTGTCAGGGATACACACATACAAACATACACACTCTTACACTTCATGAAATTGTATATTACAGTTAGTATAGCAACCTGACTTACTGTATCGACTGTAATAATTCGTGAGTGTATTTTAACGTAAGATTTCTACAAAGCTGGTTTATTGTCACTTAAATATTGGGTTTATTTTAACTTTGATTTGTTTTGGTTTATTTTTATGAACTAAATTGTCTTTCAATGGTAATTTCTGTTTTGTTTTTCTTTTAATTGGTTATTGTTATTATTTGTTCTTTATTCAAACCTTATTAGTAATTTTGGTGATATAATTAAATGGACTAAATTCACCTTCACTACCTGGTGCTGAACTTAGTAAACAAGAGCCTTAGTGAAATAATATTCTTTTGTTTTAAATTTATTGAAGACAAAAAAACACGGATATATATATATAGAGAGAGAGAGGGGAGGACAGAAAAGAAGAGAGAAAGAGGGAGGGAGACAGAAAGAGTAGGATATACAAAGAGAAACAGAGACAGAAAGAAGAGAGACAGAAAGAAGAGAGATATAGAAAAAGAGAGAGAGAGAGAGAGAGAGACACACACACCTGGTATCATGCACAAAAAGCGAGTCTCAGGGTCGCTACACTCTTGTGCCCGGTACATCACATCCTTCCCCGCTGCAATACACTCCAGCTCCTCCGTCGCCTGTCATCAACACCATTGTTTACCTTTACACATCACATTGTTTACATCTTGACTCATAATGTGTTGTAGGATCAAGTGTACCTGACCTCTCTCTGTTGTTGGTGTCTGTTGAGGGGTTAAATTTGTCTATCTGTTGTGGGAAACTTATTTTCGTGTGTTTGTATCTGTTTGTGACCATTAGGGGTAGAATTTGTCTGTCTGTCTGTTGATGGTAAACTTAATCATGTCTGCCTGTCTGTCTGTCTGTTGAGGGTTAAAATTTGTTTGTCTTTTGTGGTAAATTACACGTGTCTGTCTATCTTAATGGCAAATATACTCGTGTCTATCTTCGTCTGTGTCTACATATGTCAATTTAAGTTTGTACTACTTCACAAACTGGTCTGTTATCTCAAAGTGTCTTAACTAACAACTCTTGTACTACTATAATAATACATCATATATACCAAATAATTATTCACATATAACTCTAATTTACTATAACTCTTAAGAAAGCACTATTATAAATTCTTACAACAATTAATGAACAAAATCGAAGTAAATAGAAGAAATTTTATGAGTTAATGTATGTGGAAAGTTTTCAATGTGAGAAAGATATTGTTTTTTTTCACTGAGAAACGTACAGGTTTGATTTATTTCTCATATCTATCTATCTATCTATCTATCTATCTATCTATCTATAACTCACGGTACAGGTGGTTTCGCAGGTGAAGATCTCGGGCACTTCTGGGTACACTTCGGTGGCACCTTGTCTGGGTGGGGGACAAAGCACGAATTATAATAGGCACGTATTTTCCAACCTCTCATCTCTGTTACTCGTTAGGTTAGATTATATTAGGTTATTAAATATTCCTCTAACAACTATACCGACCCAGTCATACTAATGTACTAACAGCAGTCAATTAGCTTCGACGAATTGGGGTAGTTGGTGAGGACGCCAGAAAGAGACGGAGTTTAGTCTATAGGGCAATGACAGACAGACAGGCAAGCAGACAGACAGACAGACAGCCATATGCGTACCTGGTGTGAGCCGTGTAGTAGAATTTATCCTTGTCAGCAAAATTCAAGTCTTCGGGGTTCTGGAGGACGGCCAGTGAGGCTCCGAACTCTGAGCACCTGACGATCCATTAACTATTAACTCACTTATAACTCAAAACTCTTTTATTCTCTCCGTGAGGATAGTTTATTATACATTCCTTTCAATATATGAGTTAAAACTGTTTTATATCTGTCTTTTGTTTATGATATTTAGGATGACTGTATTACAAATCTGGTTCGCGATAAAGACAATTAGGTTTGGGGCTCAAGAGAAGAAGTCTTGCCTGGGTCGTGTCTCTCAAAACGTAAACAATCACATGAAAAACAGGCAACAGTTCCCTCATGAGCCAGTCGTAAACTAACTTGAGTAAATACAGACAACATTTCCGTCAACAGTCTCTTATATGACACTTACTTCTTGGAGGCCTCGGGGAGTCCAAGTGGGGCGGCCTCGGTTGAGAAGTGATAACAAGTGAGTTCGAGTGTGTCTTTCTCGAACTCCGGTGGACACTTCACTGTAGGGGAGACGAGAAAGAAGGGGAAGAAGTGGGGGTATTGAAGAGTTGTAGTGCTGTTATTAGCTATTAAACGCTTCTGTATGTATAGTTAAGGAGACAAAATTTAATGAAATTTAAGCTTTCCTTTGTGTGTGTGTGTGTGTGTGTGTCAAGAAACTAATTAAAGGTAATCTGTATTACAAGTGATATTTTCTTTCTTTTTTCTGATATATTCAAGACCGAGAACAGTGTCAATGAGGACCTTTACTGCCACTCTTTAATGGGCATGGTACTGAGACACAGGTAGATGGTGAGAGATGGAACTGAGACAGACAGAAAAACAGGTGGTGACAGAGGCTACTTTGGTACATAGACGGGTGGTGAGGAAGGGGTACTAACGGGTGCAGGGGAGGGCGAAGGTGTCGTTCCAAGTGTGAGGTTTACTTGGTTCGCCCTGTTGACAAAGGATGGTACCGCTTTGTCTCTCGTCTGCATGTCCCTCGTTTCCCCACATCAGGTCACCGTCGCAGTAATAGCTGATGATGGCTCCTGGCTCACGGCTTGGCGGCAAATCAATTATCACACTCGACCACCAGTCTTCCATAGGGATAAGTGGGCAGGCGACGACTGTAGAGAAAGTGAGAGAGAAAGAGAATGAGAGAAATAAAAACAGTTCTTTATTCAAGTAACTCAGTATTTACATTGTTGATATTTGCTCACTGGTCCGCCATAATCCAGCTCTCGTCTCGTCCTTGGTGTTATCTGAAGGACCTCCAAACAAAGGGTCGTCCTCGAGACTCTCACACTCATGCTTGAACTCCTTAACCCACCTCGGTTCATACAGCTTCACCATAACGTTCATCAAAAATTAAAACTTGTTCGTCTTGTTTCCCCTTTAAATTTATTATTATTATTATTATTATTATTATTATTATTATTATTATTATTATTATTATTATTATTATTATTACTCACTGAAAATAGAATAGCAAAAAAATATGTAATCCAAGTTGATTTTACTCTCTCTCTCTCTCTCTCTCTCTCTCTCTATCTCTCTCTCTCTCTCTCTCTCTCTCTCTCTCTCTCTCTCTCTCTCTCTCTCTCTCTCTCTCTCTCTCTCTCTCTCTCTCTCTCTCTCTCACCTTCGTCATCTGCCACTGCTCGAACCCTCATAATGACACTCTTCACTTCCACTGAGTCCCACTTGAGGTTGGAGTCTGTGAGCAACGTCTGTGGAGGAAATTTATGGATTAGTTTGTGAATTAGTGTGTGTGTGGGGGGGAGGGGGTGAGGTGACCGAGGCACCCACAGTCGACCCGGTGGTATGTGGATATTTATTTTTACACAACACAAATATGAAAGAGAAACTAACCTACCCTAACCCAATCTAACCTAACAAAGACAAAACAGATGGGAACATACCGCACCATCATCAGCAAAGTCAGTCGGCACCCACCAGAACTTTCCTTCAAACTCGTTAAAGTCGTTATCCAGGTTCAGCAGCATAGGGTTACCTGGAAGATGACGAGAACTTGATGTGCTTTATTGATGACAAGTTGATCTGATAGTTCTTGTAGATCAGTGGGGTGGCTGATGGGGTTATATATCACCTTAGTAATTGTTTGCATGCGTGTGTGTGTGTGTGTGTGTGTGTGTGTGTGTGTGTGTGTGTGTGTGTGTGTGTGTGTGTGTGTGTGTGTGTGTGTGTGTGTGTGTGTGTGTGTGTGTGTGTGTAATCCTCTCACCAGCATCTCCATAGTAGTCCCCCAGGTCCTCTAGGGTGTACGGCATATCTTTTTTTATCTGGAACGTGGAGTACGAGGCTCGAAACTGTTGACCGTCCGTCGTGTTTACCAGCACCTGTTGACGAAACCACCTGAGTTACCTTAATTACCTGTAGAGTCACTTAAGTCACCCGTAGAGTCACCTAAGACCACCTGAGTCACCTGTGTGGTAGATGAAACACCCCGAGCGGGAACAACACAAGAGACTGAGTGACTTGAGATATGTTTATTAGTCCATAATACTTAGTTCAACATCACGTGTGGCTTGTTTACTTCTCACCTGGCGTGCCTTACGGGCCTTATTTATGAGAGAATATAAATAGTAAATAGATTTTCATAAGTGTAATGTCTCATGACTTGTGTATGTATGTCTGCCTTGTGTCTGTATGTCTAGTAGTAGTAGCTTTGCGATGTATGTTGAAAATTCGTATAGGTATCCTTCAGACCTCTACGTAGTAAACAACAAGGCTCTACGAGGTGATACCATCCTACAGTCGACCGAGGGAACAACACAGGGAGACCCCGTTGCAATGGCAATGTATGCAATAGGCCTATCAGTGCTCCAACAAGAAATAAAGTATGAAACAACTGGGGTCAAACAAGTGGCATATGCGGATGACCTCACAGGAGCAGGAAAAGTGGAGGACATCAAAAAGTGGTGGGACCTGGTAACATCGCGAGGTCCACAAATAGGGTACCACCCAAACGCCAGCAAATCCTTCCTCATCGTGAAGCCAGATCATTATGATCGGGCTGTGGAGGTTTTCGGCGAAAGTGAGGTCAAAATAACTAAGGACGGCCAAAGACATCTAGGCGCAGTAATTGGCACTACGGACTTCAAGACCCAGTACGTAGGGGGAAAGGTGAATGAGTGGGTTAGCGAAATCCATGCTCTATCGGAGATTGCTAACACAGAGCCACATGCAGCCTTTGCAGCTTCAGTGTCAGTGTCAGTGTCAAGTTCATTCCCAAACTAGTGAAACACCACGACTTAACCCCAGTAGAAAGAACACTTCTTGCACTTCCACCAAGACTGGGAGGGATGGGACTAACTAATCCAGAGGAGATTGCTGACTCTGAACATCAAAATTCACTTAAGCTCACGGCAGCCCTCACTGACCACATAATAGCCCAGAATGCAACAGGGGAAGTGGACACCAGCGAAGTTAATAAGATCCGTAGATCCATTACAACAGATCGGCAGCACTGCCAAAATGACATGTTGCAGCAACTATTGCTGCAGGTTCCAGAAAATTTGACAAAAAAAGTAGCTATAGCGCAGGAGGTGGGCGCCTCGAACTGGTTAACTACGTTACCGATAAGGGCAAATGGTTTCAGCCTTAACAAACAAGAATTTACAGATGCCATTGCTCTAAGGTACGGTTGGCCAGTAGATGGTTTGCCCTCCCAATGCGTGTGTGGCTATTCCTATGATAGCGATCACGCCATGGTTTGCAAGAAGGGGGGCTTCATATGCATGAGGCATGACGAGGTAAGGGATCTCACAGCAAATATGTTGAAGGAAATCTGCCGGGACGTCATGGTAGAACCGACCCTCCTTCCACTGGATGGCGAGATCCTCCAACACAGGACTTCAAACACATCTAACGAAGCCCGTGTGGACGTCAGTGCTCGAGGATTCTGGACGCAGGGACAGCGAGCTTTCTTCGACATCAGGATTTTTGATCCCATGGCCGTTTGTCACCGTAACCTAGCTCTCGATGCTGCGCATAGGAGGAACGAGAAAGACAAGAGAAGGGCATATGGGGAGAGAATTCAAAATGTTGATCAAGGCAGCTTCACTCCTCTAGTGTTCACAACCTCTGGTGGGATGGGCCCAAGTGCAAGAGGTTTCTACGCCAGACTCGCGGAGCTGATCTCCGAACAGAAGCAGCAGCCCAGAAGTTATGTCACAGCCTGGATGAGATGTCGACTGTCCTTCTCTCTCCTTCGGTCGGCTTTGCTCTGCCTCAGGGGAACGAGAGCTTCTGCCCCTACTCCGACAACTGCTGCAGATATCGACTATGAGGCTACAGTCACCGAATGCCGCATGGATCTGCGGCTCAACTAATTTAACACAGATAGGATAGTTGCTTATGTATTAGGATATTTAATATTAAGGTAAATAAATGGTGGCGAAGGTGTGGCTATTGGGGGAGGCTGGAGGCCACGTTGCTAAAAAGTAGTAGTAGTAGTAGTAGTAGTAGCACTGACAGGACCTCCATCAGGACCTTACCTCAACACCAGGTCGATCTTTACCATCCGGCTTCCGGTTGAGGGCTGCCAGTGCCTCCAGACCTGCGGAGGATAGATAGATAGATAAGTTTATTAACATCACACACACACACACACACACACAAACACACACACACACACACACACACACACACACACACACACACGCGCGCGCGCGCGCGAAGGCCATTACCAATGAAGTAACTCGACTCCTCAGATGCTTCCGCGCTCCCTATCGTTGTCAAGAAGTCCGAGAACTGTAGATCATTGAAGTCTTGCAGCCCTGAGTAATGCCTGAAGATGTTGGTCCAGCCGCTGCCTCCAGGAACAGTTGTGTCGTTCAGGTCACAATACACCTGTGAGAACACTTGTTATGGTCATCCCAGGTGAGTACATAATATGAGAACACTTGTCAGAACACTTGTCACTCATTTGCATTTTTCATTTGAATACTTGACTAGACTGGTGTTAGAAATTAGGACATTTGTCAGTAATGTGGTTAGAATTAGAGCACCTGTCATTAGAGCACCTGTCATTAGAGCACCTGTCATTAGAGCACCTGTCATTAGAGTGCCTGTCATTAGAGCACCTGTCATTAGAGCACCTGTCATTAGAGCACCTGTCATTAGAGCACCTGTCATTAGAGCACCTGTCATTAGAGCACGTATCA